GTTTAGGCCCATTCTCCCTCACTGATGGATCAGAGCGGGTAGATGCTTCTTCCCTTCATACTCCTCTTCCTGAAAGACCATCATCTTGTTTCCTTTCCTCTCTGATCTCTCAACAATTGCAGATTCTTCACATGAACTTTTTAGCTTTGTTAAAAAATACATTACTATGGTGAAATCCATGTAATTTCCTTATATAACTCTGGGGAACTGTTAGAGTCTGAAATTTGGGGGTTCAGTGAGTGCATCTGCCTGGGTTAGGAACACAAGTATCCAAGGAAGTGAAGTGAAAAGGTTTAGCCCCTGTTATTCCAAAGGAAAATGAAAATACTATTACGTTACAAGTAGGAGGACAGGCTTATGCAGTGACAAAAAGTCAAAAAGTTGGGTGGAAAAGATTAGTCATATCTTTTGAACATAAATCTATAAAAATGGTCCAGTTTTATGGCACACACTGGAATGCATTAAATTATAAGCTGGAAATCCACCCAAGGAAAATACCAATATATATTTAATAGGAGTAGCCATTGACATAGTAATAGTTTTATTCACTTTTTATTTACTACATGTCATTCAACTAGTGATCAATAAAATTCATGAATCAGAAGGTTGTCACTTCTTAGTCCTTTTATTTCTTCTTTATCTCCAGTGATCACTTATTTATAGTTTTCCCTTTATAATAAAATGCTTGCTAATTTTATTTCTTCATTACTTTGAGATTCTTCTACTTGATACTTCTCCAGCCTGCTAAAATTGATTTCCTCATAATTTTTTTTTTAGAATGTAAAGATAATGGAATTTAGTTTCTTACAATAGCCAATAGGTCAAGTTAGAAAAATACATATTAGGCAAACTCACTCAGATTCTACTTTCATATTCTTTCTCATTTCAATTTTATTGCTGTAACAACCTTAAAATGAAGTTCTTTTTGTACTTAAAGAGTCAGATTACTCTGGATTGAGTCCAAGGCCTTAAATCAATTCTATTTCATAGCATAGTGTTTTTATCGTTAAAATAGTATAAATTCGTATATTTTGCAAGAGATTCACTCTCATGAGTGAAATGGTTCCAAATTAAAAACAATTTGACTGTTTAATAATGTGTTGGCTAGGTAAGTGAAGTTACAGTATTTCTTTTTTGGAAGCCCCAAACAGGAACATAGAAAACTGGAAAATTTCCCATTGTGATTTTTTAATATTATGTTCATAATGAAAGTGCTATGGTTGGAACATTTGTGCTCCTCCAAATTTCATGTCAAAACTTAATTCCCAATGCAATTGTGTTAAGAGGTAGGGCCTTTAGGAGGTGACTAGGCCATATGGACTTGACCTTCATGGATGGAATTAGAATCCTATAAAAAGGGTAGAGGGAATTAGCTAGCTTTTGTCTTTTTGTTCCCTTCTGACATGTGACACAGCATTCATCCCCTCCAGAAGACACAGTAACAAGGTACCATACTAGAAGCAGATTTCACCACCTCCATAATTATGAGAAATAAATTCCTGTTTATAAATCACCTAATCTCAGGTATTTTGTTATAGTAGCACAAAGAGACAAAAACACAAAACTTCTACCTGAAGGACAACAAAGAGAAAAGACAGAAAGGACTGTTACTGTGTGGGGGTGAAAGGGGGAAGAATTATCTTAGTCCAGTGATTACATGGAAAGGTACTGAGGATTCAGTCATTGAGACACACTTCATCATATCATCCCAAGTGGACATGGAAGCTATTTACAGAGTTCAGTTTTGTAAAAAAGAAAGAAAAGGAGTTACAGTTGGATATAGATGTATGGCAAAAGTGTAGGGAAATGAAAAAGATCTGCTAAGCAAATCTCTATTCTGTACTCATGTGTGGTGCTAGTTATAAATTTTTAAAAACATGTATAAGAGCTTTCAGGGTCATCTTGATTTCAGCCTCTTTGCTAGATTCTAAGAACTAATCCCTAAGAAAATTTGAACACCGTAATTATAATTTATTCATTACATTGTATAGTGATTTATTTTTCTTTCTGCAAATTTTTCTCCATCTTTCTAATCATTGCATGACATTATATTACTATAATACTGAACTACAGAAAACATAAGCTTAAGAATTTATTTTTTAGTCTCAGTTCAATTTGCTCTCAAGCCAGTGCCTGTTTCTACCCCTCCATGCTGCCAACACACATTTCACTGAGGGCATATTTCTTGTTTTTCCAGCTCTTCCCTTACTTGTTGGAAATTACACTAGAATTATATATTTTTAGAAACATGAACCCACAAATTAACTAGCATTGATAAATTACCCTTCCTTTCTACTAGATAGTGGAGAATATTTGTCCTAATCATGAATGAGAAAACTTTCACAGTGGACAATGAGGAATTTTGTAGGTAAGATCTGCCATGTCTCCCTAATTTATGCATGTCCTAATTTGATGAATAATCAGGATGGTTATTCCTAATGTAACTAATTAAACCCAGTAAGTCAATTGTAGAAAATTTAAAAAGACCGAGGGATGGGGGGATTTATTAAAAGACTTTGAGGAGCTCTGAAAGTCAGTAGCAAGGCTGCAGAACTAAGCAGGAGCTGAGTAAGTACTCCAGATGTAGATAGAAGTAGCAAAGGAAGAGTTTTGCAGAGGAAGCTGTCTCCTCAGAGCAGCATCACCAGAATAAAGTCTCCAGCAAAGCCCAATCTCCTTTCTCTTAGCTAATAATTCAAATTCTGAGGAAGTCATCTGTCCAGCTCTTAGCGAAAGGATACCTGATTAAACAGGCTCACTGAATTCAATGGTAGGGGAGGTATTGAAATATTTCCAGTGCTCGCTTYGGCAGCACATATACTAAAATTGGAATGATACGGAGAAGATTAGCATGGCCCCTGAGCAAGGATGACACGCAAATTTGTGAAGCATTCCATTAAAATATATATATCTCCAATAAAATTTTCAAAGTTTGGAAAAGTCCACTACTTTTGCTTAAGTTTCTCATGCTCAAACTGATAAACCAGCAGCTAGCTAGCTTATGAGCTACAATAACAGATTTTTTTAAAAAAAGATCTTAGAATAATTTGTACAGCATTTGCTCAGCCACATCAAGCAATCAGCTCCTATCACTAAACCAAACACACATACAAACCTCAGAAAACACTAAATGGGATTAAGTCAGAAGTTAAGAAAGAAACAATCATGACAACAAAAATCTTATTCCCACAATCATCTTCCTTACCAGAAAAACAAAAGGTAACAGCAAATACATATATATACTGTCTAGTTCTGTGCGCTATGACTTAGATTTTTTGTGTTATCTCGTTTACTTTCTCATACAATCCAGAATATAGGTACTTTTGCCATGTTCGGAGAGAGCACATCCCTTGGCTAAAGTCTCATTGCATCAAGGAATCCACACTCAGAACCTGTACGCACCTCTGTACTAACTGTATAGACAAGTGCATTCTTTTAGAGGGTAGCCACAGGGTTGTGGCTGTAACCATGGGCATGAGTTACAAATCTCAGCTCTGCCATTTACTAACTGTGCAACTCCAAGCAAGAAGCTTAAATATCCCTAAGCCTCAATGTTCTCCTTTGTGAGATGAGGAGGGTCATATCAGGGTCAGCATGCATTGCTGYAAGGTCACACCATGCTGCAAGGAAGAAAAGGGAAATGTATATAAAGTGCCTGGCCTTGAATTCTGGACACATAGTAAGTGCTGATTAGTTAATGGCCATTACTATTCTCTCTACCCTTGCATGCTAGTCCTGAAGGCCCGAGTAATATTCTTCACACTTATATCCCTAACACATTTCTTAGTGATTGGTGCATTAAAAAGCCCAAATAAATATCTGCTGAACAGAAAGTTTTCTGTATCAGATTCACGTTGCCATGTAATACTCTAGGGTCATACTAAGCTGCTCTTTTCATACTAAAGCCCTAGCTCATCCCTTCCCCTTGAGCAAATAATGCCTATCTTTCCCAGGCCCTGAGACTGCTAACTTCATGAGGTCAGAGTCTGCACCTCTTTTGTTCTCCACATATCCCAAGTGCCTACCATAGAGACTAGAACACAGCAGGAGTTTAACAAATACACGTGGTCTTAATTTTTAAGAGACATGTATATATATACATATGATATAGGATATTTGTAATTTATGCCCATATATAATCTGAAGCCAGACTGCCTAAGCTTAAAACCCAGCTCCATCATTTACTAGCTGAATGACTTTGGGTAATATATATGACCTTTCAATACCTCCATTTTCTTACCTGTAAAATGAGAATAACAAGAATAAGGCATTGTTGTATTAAACTGTTAATTCATATTAATCTCATAAAATAGCACTTGACACATAACAAGTATTCTTTACATGTCAGCAATTATTAATTTTGTTTGTGGTTGTTTCTCTCCCATCACTTTGCCAAGGATACATAATTCTGACTACCTAAATTGTTTCTCTTTTCATGTAAGAAAATATAAAAAGTGTTATCTTAACTTAAAAATTCTGAAATTAATTTGCAGGAAAGAACAAATTGTAATCTCAAGAAACTATCTCAAAACTACTTGAAAAAAATGTATTTATAGGAATTGTCCTTAGAATAAAAATCCTGAATGGCTACAGATATTCTGCAGTGCCAGTCTCTTCCAAATTACTTTTGTTGGAATCTTCCCAGCACTTGGCATTATTCTTTCCATAAACAAGAACAGCCATATTGACTTGAACAGAAGTATTTGAGTAAACACACACACACACACACACACACACACACACACACACAATCACCACCACCACCAAGCAAGGAATTATGTTTCACACACATGCTGTCCTCTATCTCATTGCCCTATTAAGGCAAAAAGCAGATCCATCTCAGGATGCATCTCTATATGACTTAGAGCATGAACTTGACCATCAGGCCACACATTACTTTACAATGCAAATCACCATGTTTAACCACTGATGCATCTCTCCACCTTGCAGAGAGGAGAAGGGAAATAAAGACAAAGTAGGCAGCAGGGTGTTTCATCTACCTTTAGTACCGTGATGTTCCAGGCAAAGCTCTCAGTGGCCTTGTTGAGTTTTCTTCCTTTCAGTCCTTCCTTTGCCCCCAGGTTATGAAGTTCTTCATGGAACTCCATCCCTTTGAAAAAAGAGTGGATAGGAAATAATAGTGCAAATTCAGAAAAAATGAGCATCTCAGCATAAAAAATATTATCAGTAAAATATAATTTCACATCTCTGTCCTCTCAGAATTTCTAAATCTCTAAACTGAATTCTCCTTCCTATGTATTCATCCCACCAAATGACCATCCATAGGGCAGCGGACTATCAATAATCAATACAGGCTAAATTACATTTCAAACAGCCAGGAACCATYGATGAAGACATCAGAAATTCTTCCAACAGGTTCCATTCATTTTGTGGAGGGCCTTTGTGTGGAAGGGTGTGATGTATAGCTATATGTGAGGGGCCTCTACCTTCCTTTTCTTTATAAGTCAGCCCTGTGGCTTCAAAGCAGGCCCTGGGACCCATGTGGATAATAATCAGTAATTAGTAAATTAATATCAACTAAAACTAAAAAGATATTCTTAAAAATAGCATTCCTGGAATCACCCAAGTGTTTCAGATTTGGGAATAGCCTTAAAGTATTTCAGTTCTACCATTTGCTCAAATTTGAATACCATTCTGGTAAAATTAGCATAACTGATTAAAGTATTATTAGTAAATATTGGCTTCATACTAATTTTTATTGATTTTATTAATTTTCTAATTTTTTAGTACTAATTTTAAAAAACAAAATTGTTTTACCAGTTTAACTTCATTTTAATAATCCAAGTCAATTAACATAAAAAAATTGAATACTATGAAAAACATCACCATTATCTGTTTCTATAGGTTTTGTCTTAGCACATSAGGGTTGGGAATCACATTCTCTCATAGACAGCTTGTTCCATCTTTACAGACCTGGGCCTGATATTGACTGAGCCAAAATCTTCTTCCCTGGAACTCCTCAGTGCTAGCTAAACCCAGACCAACAATTTCTAATCTCTTTCCATATAGTGCAGCTCTTTAGATACTTGAAGAAATGTTGGCAGGCAGAGGGAATCTTGAATTCTGTCCTCAACAGAATGTGTTCTAACACATTTCATCTCACTTATGGCTCCTTTTTAAGGACAGCATCCAAGCAGAACCACTGCACTGCCTGGCTTCCCAGAATTGAACAGTGTACACAATCCTGTATCCAGCAGTGGACACTGTACTCAGAATAGACTTGAAGAGCCCACACTGGGTAGGGATTTTCCATCATTCTTCTGGTTCTACATACTTTTATTAATGTAACCTGAATTCCTACGTGCTGATATCACAAATATATGTACTAACAAAGAGTATGAACATGGAGCCGGGGCTGACATTCTGGCTCCACTTACTGACTGTGTGGGTCTGAGCAAGTTCCTGAAACTCATTGGGCTTCAGTTTCTTCACTGGTGAGACAGTGACAAGAGGGTTTATCTCAGGGATTGTGGTGAAGATAAATAGGTCAATACATAAATAGCTCTTAGAGAGTATTGGCATCATATAAGTATTGGATACTGTTTTTGCATTTACTGTCAACTGAAAYATCTCAGCCTGCTGGTCCGTCAGTGAAGAGAACCATTTTTAAAGGTCAGCCCCACCATGTTGATGTAAGATCTTGGATCATTCACTCAGTCTCCCAGAATCTCAGGTGCCTCATYTGTAAGTTGGAGATGAGGACTACATTGAAGAGTTAAGAGGACTAAGTAAGATAATGTATGTGCTTAGCATATCATATGCATATTTATAAAGCAACTGTCTCTGTTGTCAATTTCTTTACCATAACCATTATTGTGTCTGTGGTGAGAGGAGCACATGGATCCAAGAAATAAAAGCACAGGAGTGCGGATGAAGATGAACATAAATAGAGGTGTATGCTCACAGACGTGTGACCCCTCCCATCCCTAAAGAAAAAAAAACAAGTCTAAAATGAGAACTGGGAAATGGGGCAAATGCCCTAGAAGATTAATAGAGTTAATCAAATCATAAAAATAAAGTAGGCTTGAAGGAGTCTCATTGAACCCTACCTCCCATACCACTAGTAATAGATTTTATTAGACTTCCAAATCACAAAAGTAGACTTAGAAACCCTTGACTCTAGATATTTTCAGACACCACCACCCCCAAATACACAAATAAAACCATCCAGATTTCTTCTGTAGTAAACAAAAACTTAAATGTAACTTGTAATTAAACAATGACATAAAATATTTAAATTTTAAGAGGAAGGACAGAAACTTTAAAAAAAATTCTGCAAAGAATTGTCATTATGGTGCTTAAACCAAATATAAAAAAATTACCTGCTTTCTGACACTGTACAATCTTTTCATGGACTGTGTCTGCCATTTCTATGAGAAACCGGCTCTCTTGAATCATCTGTCACAAAATAGACAACAACAAAAAAATGGTTGTCAGAAATCCTTAAACTGGTTCATTGAGAAGGTGATATACCGAGACACCTGTGAGATAACATCCAGTAACAGGGACATGATTTCAACCACAAGAGATGGGAGAGAGAAGGAAAATTTCTGTCCTAACCCCTGTCCATTCTAATTTTGAGGCTGTAGTCACCCTTCTTACAATTGATCCAGTTGTATAAATGCCAAGCACACAGGGGGTGCTAAGTAAGTGATTGTTGAATAAATGCATATACATCTTTAAGTACCAGGTCATATTATGAATGTCTCTGATACCACTGGCTTACCTCAAAGGTTACTACAACATCAAGGCAAGTGGTATTGAGACAATAGCACAAGAACCAAAATACAGAATCACCTAGTGATAAACTAAAGGACTTCAGGATGCATTATTGAAGCTGCCAACTTAGATTTGGATTGCCCAAAGAAGGGAGTTCTGGTTCTCTCTCTAGTGCCGTTCTGTAGTAAGAATGAGGAATGGGTCAGATTTCAGAGTGAGGAGCTCAATAGAGCTTGTAGACAATAACACTGAAATGGTTGTCTTTGCCCTCTATTTTGGGTTAGAAAGCAACATGTCTAAGGCATTTTATATAATAAATACCTCTTGGTATAGGGAAAATAAACAACTGTTCTGCTAGCAAAGAACAGAAGAATCTGTGTGTGAAGATGAGAAGCAAAATCATATCATATATCCATTTAACAAATATTTATTGAGCAGCCATGGTGGGCTCAGGGGGTACAGTGCACTAAGGAGCAAAAGATATATGTTTCTACCTCCATGAAATTCACAGTCCAACAGATAAAGTCTATTTAAATGAATGAATATAAGATTATGAGAAACAATGCAAACAAATAAAATTCTATGAGTCATATTACTTGTATTCTCTGCCAAAAACAATGACTTGTTTGACTATGAACACTGTAAAGCTAGATACCAGTAAAGGTCTAGACTGCGCAAAACTTTTAAACTGCATTAATTCTTTCAGCTCCCAAGAGAAAGTAGGACACTTGTGAACAACAATTTATCAAATGGTCAAGAGTAGCCTGAGTTATTGTGGCTTCTAAGAGAAAGGAATTTAAGGACAGAGGAAAATTTAATATGAAGTCAATCTGATTCATTTTTTTTTTCAACATCTACACATGGAACATCATGTGAATAGATTTTTATTTTTAGAAGTTATCAGATGTTTAGATTAGCTAAGTAGCCGACAAAGGTTTTCAGGAAATTCACACAAGAGAAATATTAATAAGAAACAGAAAAATTCTGTAAGTTTACATAAATCAAATATATTGCTGCCATAGTTTGGATCTAAAATGTCTCTCAGAAGACTGTGTGTTAAAGGCTTTATCCCTAGAGTCAACATAGGTTTTATTCCTTTCATGCACCCCCTCCAGAGGCCTGAAAGCATTGGGCCCACCTAATAATGGACTGGAACCTTTAAAACCGTGATTGTCTCAAGTTTTTGTTATACTAACAGAAACCTATCACAATTATACATTTTAAAAATCTGGATTTYAAGGATAAAGGACTCTTAAAAATCATAATCACTTCCTGTGTTTTACAGAAAAGAAACTAAGGTTAAAAGTCATGTCAAGATAAATAGAATTAATTAGTGCTAAAGCTGGAATTAGAATCCCAGCTTCCTCTATTCACCTCACTGATTGTTTCTTTTGCTGAGAAGAAGCTTTTTAGTTTGAATCCATCCCACTTATTGAGTCTTGATTTTAATTCTTGCACTATAGAAGTCTTTTTTTTTTTTTTTTTTTTAGAAAAGATTCTCTTTTATTTTTACAAACCTGGCATTTCTCCTCAGGACTATAGGAGTCTTATTAAGGAAGTCAAGGCCTAATCCAACATGATGGAGATTTGGGCCTAATTTTTCTTCTATTATGCACACTGTCACTGATTTAATTCCTAGGTCCTTGATCTACTTTGAGTTGAGTTTTGTGCATGGTGAGAGATATGGGTTTATTCACTTTATTGCATATGGAATTCCAGTTTTCCCAGCACCATTTGTTGAAGAGGCTATCTTTTCTCCAATGTATGTTTTTGGCACCTTTGTCTAATATAAGATAACTGTAATTATGTGGATTTGTCTCTGTGTYCTCTATTCTGTATCATTGGTCTATAAGTCTATTTTGGTGCCAATACCATGCTGTTTTTGTTACTATTGCTCTGTAGTATAGTTTACCACACACATCAGATAGAGCACTAATCTCTAGGATATATAAAGAACTCAAAAATCTTAACACCAAATAAATAAAAATAAATAAATAGATAACCCAATCAATAAATAGACCAAGGAACTGAACAGAAACTTCTCAGAAGATGATATACAATCAATCAACAAATATATGGAAAAAACTTCACATCTCCAGCAATTAAAGAAATGCAAGTCAAAACTAAGATTTCATCTCACTTTATTCAGAATGRCAGTTATTAAGAATAAAACAATAAGTGTTGAYGAGGATGTGGGGGAAAAGGCACATTCATTCACCGCTGGTGGGACTGCAAATTGCTGTAGCCAATATGGAAAGCAGTATGGAGATTCCTTGGAAAACTATGAATGGAATCACCATTTGACCCAGCTTTATCCCACTCCTCAGTCTATACTCAAAGGACTTAAAACAGCATACTACAGACACAGCCACATCAATGTTCATAGCAGCACAATTCACAATAGCTAAACTGTGGAAYCCACCTAGATGCCCTTCAGTAGATGAATGGATAAAGAAAATGTGATTTTATATATATATATATATATATGAACGAACACACAGTGGAATATTACTCAGCATTAAAAGAGAATAAAATCATGGCATTTGCAGGTAAATGGATGGAGCTGGAGAATATAATGCTAAGTGAAGTAAGCCAATCCCAAAAAACCAAATGCCGAATATTTTCTCTGATATAAAGATGCTAATTCATAATAGGGTTGGGGGAGCATGGGAGTAATGTAGAAACTTTAGATAGGGCAAAGGGGACAGAGGGTGGGGCATAGGGATAGAAATGGTGGAATGAAATGGACATCATTACCCTAAGTACATGTATGAAGACATGAATAATGTGACTCTACTTTGTGAACAATCAGAGATATGAAAAATTAAGCTCTATATGTGTAATATGAATTGTAATGCATTTTTTGTCATATATAACAAATTAGAATTTTAAAAAATCCCAGTTTCCTGGCATCCAAACTATTTTTATTTTAAAATGCCACCTTTGGATTTTGCCTGGCCTTGCCATGCCCCCTTGAGGGTGCACAGACTTGCACACACCACACAAGCAGCCTTTTGAATCTGAAATGTGGAATTCCAAAGACACATAGTCCAGCCCTTTGGAACAAATACGAGGACATACACATAACCAATTCATTTCAATCAGACTCAAATCTGTCTTTAAAAAAATCTTTAAAAGAATAATTGGTAATTTCCTTGGATAACATATTGACTAAGCTTATATTCATTTCTTTTGGTTTTTCTCTCAGAAGAGAAAACATGACACCATTCTCTAGTAAAAAGCCCTTTACCTACTGATTGGTGACCAGTTTGTTTTCTTTGCAGTATTTAACTAAGTATCTCCTTGGTGTCAACTACAAAAGGAATATACTTCCTGTATCCCCAAAGGCCACCGCTTCTTGGTACCAACAGGAGAAGGAGGTTAGTTCTTTACCACAGCCAACTCTACTCTCTAGTCTTTCAATCCCACCTCCCTTGCTTCTCCTGGAATCCCATTCTAAATGATTCTCTCTTTCTTTCATCTACAATTTCTCCCCTTGCTTCTTCCCTTCTGAATACATTATCTCTTACTTTTAAGATGGCAAACAATAGCAGAATATTTTATCCACCGTAAGTGATTGTTCTGGTCTCTCCTCCTTAAGAAATTAGCTCATGATCATTGCTTGACTTCACGCAGCGCTCCTCTAATACTCTTAGAGTTCAACCTTGTCTCATCAGCAGTTGCTCCCTGGCCAATTCTCAGTCCTCATTCTCTCCAGCGTAGGAGTTAAAACATCTGACCACTCTTCCTTCTGGAATTCTATGACCCTAATTCTTTTACTGTTTTGCTCTTTCTCTGTCTCCTGTATTGTTTCCTATTTATATCCACATGTATAGGAATCCTCCAAGCCACCAGGCCTCAGTTCTCTACTCTTTCCCTTCTTTGCTATGATTTCATCCATTCCTAGAGCTATCAAATATTCTGCACCCCAACAAGCCCAATCCCCCCCCAAAAAAGGGATTTTGGGGGGGGGGATTGGGCAAAATGTTCTCTGTGATATGCAGATGCTGACTTACAATGGGGGGAGGGAGGAGTGGAGGTTCACTGAACTAGACAGGGGGAGTGGGGGGAAAGGAGAAGGAATGGGAAAGACAGCAGAATGAATYGAACATAACTTTCCTATGTTCATATATGAATACATGACCATGTAACTCCATATACTGTACAATCACACGAATAGGAAGTTATACTCCATATATGTGTTATACATCAAAATACATTCTACAGTCATATATAACAAAAAAGAGCAAATACAGAAAAAAAATTTTAAAAAATATTCTGCACTCGTGCATCATGACATTTTAAAGCCAATTTCTCCAACCCTGGCCTGTATCCCTAGATTCCAATGTTCTACCACACTGGTTTCCAAGGCAGGAAGGTGTTTTTATCCTGGGGCAGAAAATGGGAGGGCACAACATGGTTCACTGGGGTGTGTGATGAGACAATGAGGACTTTTATTCACATTTATTTTATCTGTAAAAATTAAAAAGAAATGAAGCTTTGCAGATTAATCCTGGCCACCTTGCTAAATCATGGCCATGTGTTTCTAATATGACCAGTGAGGCATAATGAGAAAAGAAGGTAATTGCACACTGGAGACGGGCTGACAGCAGAACTCATATTAGCTTCTTTTAGAGTATCCCAACTTACAGCCTGGAAAGCAAGTACCACTTACATTA